ATAGTGAAAAGAGCTTTAAATTTGGAGTGCAATGACTTGTCTTCAACTTATGGTTCTGGTATTTTCTAGCTGTGGGACTTGGAAATCACTTTTTCTGGCTCTGGATTTCATCATCTGTAAAATGAAGATTCAACTAGGTATGTCTAAAATTTCTTGGAGTTCTTGCTTCTGTAGATTTCTAAAGTTGTCTCATAAAGTTGTACATGCCCTAAGGCAGAGGATTAGCATTTTGTGTCTGAGAGTTTCAATACACTTACAAACAATAGCCCTAAAGTACAAATAAAAGGCAGATGTCTAATACTTGGAACAAATGTTGAAATAAGACCTATTGAATGCTATTCTTAGAAATACTACCATATCTGAGGTGATAATAGATTCAGTCCATTTCCTGTTTTGTCCACACTCCCCTCTTGATACTTTTATTAAATAAGAAAAAAAAATCATGCTGGAAACCCTTGGGAATGGAACATAGGAACAGAAATGAAGACTTGGATAATAACATTATTTCTATACAAAATTAAGCTTACCACCCTGAAGGACATTTATTTATTTATTTATTCATTTATTTGTTTGTTTGTTTGTTTTTGGCTGGGCAATGGGATTAAGTGACTTGCCCAGGGTCACACAGCAGGTCCTCCTGAATCCAGGGCCGGTGCTCTATCCACTGCACCATCTAGCTGCCCCCCTGAAGGATATTTACATGCACAATTTACATATATTGACTTCCAGGTAGAAGTGCAAGAAGCATGGATGAAGCATGGATGAATCATAGAGTAATACGATTTTGGAGGTAGAGCATTATTTTACAGATGATGAAAAGCTAGAAAGGTTAAAACTTGTCCAAGGCCAATTATATTAGCCATGTGATAGACTTAGGACTAAACTAGTATTTTCTGACAGTGCACTGTCCTCTCCAAAATGAAGTGCAATAAAAAAATGACAAAGCCAAATGAGATGTAAATGACTGCTAAAGTAATTTGGTTTTGCTTTTATCTACCTTGCGTTTTTATGCTAGTGCCAAAAAGTTCCTGTTGATTTATTATGCAAATAGTTTCCCAAAATCTTAGTATAGGTTTAAGTCATTAAGGATGGAGTTAATAACTTAAACTTACAGTAAGAGTTTTGGCACACCCTGTATATACACACATATCTACCTCTACATTTATATCATCTGCATCTATATCTATATCCATATCCATTTCTATTTCTATCACAAAAGAAACATATAACAGAGCCCATTGACATTTCATCTTTCACATAGCCTCAGTGAATATACATAACAATGTAGCATCATAAGAGCATAGATCTTGAATGAAAAAGAACTTGGGAAGTAATTTAGTTCTTAGTAAAACTGAGAAAAGTGAGGACCAGAATGCTTGTGACTTGTCTAAAATCATGTAAGTCAAAAAACAGAGCTTCAGACTCAGGCCCTGTATAAATGCTTAATTTTGTGCTTTCTTAGAAAGGTTATTAATATACTATGAAAATACTGAGTTCTGTTTTCCACAATGTCTAACTTTATCTCCAATAGAAAATTTGAGGAACGTCAGTGCTAACTTAGAAGTTTCCTGGTGGTAAGTTACTCAGGTTCAGTGTATGGTGCTGCTATTAGCTGAAAATTAACTCTAAGATGCCAAGCACTTTTATCATCCTGCTTATTGAATTTGCTCTTCTGACCACTGGCCTTTATATTGAGAATCACAGAATGTTTGAGCTGGTAAATTCTTAGTCTAACCTCTTCATTTCAGAGATGAGCAAATTGGGAATATAAAATTGAAATTGTCTAAGATAAATTAACTAGTTTCTGTCAGAATTGCAACTTGGCAGTCTTAACTTCCTGTTCAATGTTTTTTCCATTCCAGTAGATCCCAGTATGTACATACACACATATATGCAATATGTGTGTGTGTGTGTATTTGCCTTGCAAATCTCTTGCAATAACAGCAACAATAATAGTAGCAGCAGAAACAGCAACAACAACAACAAATTGTGGTGAACCATAAGGGTAATTTAATATACTATTCTGCAATTATTTACTGTTTATAGCTCCATGAAAGAGTTTTTAATACAAATTCATTGGGTTGTCATTGGGAAGGTTCATGAACCATTAAATGGAAACACCGTGTCACAATTTAGAGGCAACTAGGAAGCAATAAGATGTGGCCAAGTGGAGGTATGTTGCCTTTAAATAATATGATGACAGCTAGATCCTATTCAAACCTTCAGATTTACGCCCAAAATGCCTTTGATACTACTTTATAAAAATATCTAAATATTATTACGTTTTAAAATGCAAAATTAATTAACAATGCAAACTTTCAAAACAATCATAAATAAAATGAGCTAAATAAATCTTACATTTGAATTTAAAAATTTCTACCTTTTTTTGCACCCTTTTTTCCCCCTTTAGTATGATACAGACCTCTAAGTCATGGCCTTGAGCTATTACTATACATTTTTTCCTCTTTCAATAAATTTCATTCAGCATCAGAACAATCTCCCTTCTTATTCTATTTCAGAACCGTTCACTATCCTCATTTATTGAGTATAGGTTAAGGTGTTCATCTTCAATTCCTAGACCTCAAATACTTATCTGAAAAAACTTTCAGCCAAAAGCAGTAATATAAACATTTTTTTAAGATACAGGATTGTATTTAACTTACTAACAAAGAAAAGATTTCTATTTTAGTAGAAACTTATTTCCCTTTATGATTGCCATATCCATTAATATATGTGAAAAAATATTTTCTGACTAAGAAAAATCATTAGTTCTTTTCTAATTCAAAGGTTAGTCACTCAGGCATTTATGTCCTTTTCCATCTATATTATTTAGAAAGATATAAAACATATGTATGTAAGCCATAGTGGCATTGGAGTTTGATGGGAAGCATATGTGTGTATATATACATATATATATATTTTTTTTTTCCTAGTTTAAAAGGATAAATGAAAGACCCCATCTATCTTCCAATCTCTTTTTCCAGTTGAGAAGTACTACATTTTGTGTCACATTTTCCTGGACATAAAATGGAAAGACATTAAGCATTCATAAAGGGAAGAGAAATGAACAAATGTTTAAATAAGGCCTACTAGGTGTCATGCATTTTGCTAAGCACTTTTTCCTACTATGAAGACGATGATGTCTACTGCGTCTACTATATCTACTACACCTACTACATCTACTACTACATTTACTACATCTACTACTAAATTTACTATGACTACTACTATTAACATATAGTGTTTACTACGTGCTGGGCACTTTGATAAGTGCTTTACAATTATTTCATTTATTTCTCATAACAACCCTGGGAGGTTGAGGAAACTGAGGCACACAATGGTTAAGGGACTTGTGTAGGATCACATAGCTGATAAGTTTCTGAAGCTGCATTTGAACTTAGGACTTACTAATTCCAGGCCCAGCACTCTATCCATTACACCACCAGCTGCCTCAGTAAATAATTTGTAAGCTATTTCTTTCTAGGGATGTATACTTACTTATTTGCTGCATATAAAATTAACGACAACATCTACTGCCAGTGTTCTTGTTAAACTACAAGACTATGCATTTCCACAAAGTACCTTGCCCCCAAAACTTTTATTTGATAAATGCCAATGTCTCCAACCTATACATTCGTTCCCTGCTGCCTACAGATAGTCCAGATCACCCTAACACCTCACTTGCCATCCCTTCTGTCATCATATAGTTTTCCTCTCTTTCACAATCAACTCTCAGGAAAACTCTTAGAAAACCAAACTACTTTCATAATCTACCATTCACTTCTTGGTATCTTGCAATATGAATTTGGCTTCCTATCCCAACAGTAGACTGAAACATCTCTCTCCAAGGCCACTAGTGATCTTTTATTGCCATATCCAATGGCCTTCTCTCAGGCATCTTTCTTTTGTTCTATGCTATATTTAACATATTTGATAAGCCATCCCAACACACGCACACACACACACATACACACACATTCCGCTACCTTACTCTCCCCTCCTCTTCTCTCCTCTCTTCTCCCTGGCTTCATTGGTCATTTGGGCTTCAATTATCTCTCTGAAGATGATGTTCCTGATCTATACTTCCTGCCGTAGTCAACTCTCCTGACCTCCAGGATTGCATTATTAAATGCTTGTTGAATATCATTAATTGGATATCCCATAAATATTTCAAACTCCATATGTCCAAAATGCAATTAATTTTCTTCTATACAAACCTCCCCCCCTCCATCAAGCCTTTTATTTTCTTTCTGTTTCTGGTGAAGGTAGCAACCTCAAGTTACAAACCTTAGGGTCATGCTTGAGTCTTTTATTTTCCTTTTAAAATATTTTATTAATATTTTCATTTATCTTATTTATCAGTTTACATACGCACATAGACCCTTCCTTTTTAGTAAATGGGTAGTCAAGCAAAACAAATCAAAGCAGTATACAAAAAAATCTCATTTTTATGTCAGCGGATTTATTATGAATATTATTTATTTTTGCACTAAAATAGGTCAGTTGCTCATGTAACATGGCCACTCATTTGAACCCTAAAAAATCAGAAAGAAGAGAATTTTTTTAGGACTTAAGACTGATATCAGTTAGGATGGAAATATCAACTAATGATTCACACTAAGATTTTCTTGCTTGTGTTCCCTTCTACAATCAAAATGCTCATTCATTTTCAGAAGAAATCCCATACATATTATATAGTCATACAAAATATTATGAAAAAATAATTATGGGAAGAACATTTGGATACATTTGATTGCTTCTAACACCAGACAGAATTTTTATTCAATAAATATATTTCAATAGCACTACTATGCCAGAAAACAATGAAAACTTATGGTATTATTTTAGGCTTTTAACTATTTAACACAGCCTTTAATTAACTAAGAGACTTATGGAGTCATGTTAATACTCCTTGCAACTATGCCTGGATGTAGTTACTAAGAGATCACAAAAGGGTATTAAATCGAAGTCAAACAAGAACAGAACAAACCAGGACTTACCACTTTACAACTCTAAACTCACAAGGCAATCAATGACTGGAGGATTAGAAGTATCAAACTCCTCAAGATTTCCCTGAAAGACAAAATTAAACACCATGCCTTAATTCACCTTTCTTACACTTGTTATGAGCTATAGATTTATGCAAGGGCAGCTTCAAATCAGACTACCAGGCAAAAAGATGAGCACTTAAAGTGGCACTTGGTAGATGAATGCCATCTACAAATTGATGCCAAGGAATAACAGCACAATAAAATGGAATTTATATTCCTTCAATGAGGTAAAATGGTATAGTTCATAAAATTTAAAATAAAGGTCAGATGTTGAATTATATGATTCCATTGGCATTCTCTGATGGAAATGTTCATGCTCCAGTATATCAATTATATAATTAGCCATAATGCTTATTTTACCCTCTTATAGGACAATCTACTTCATTCAAAGTAATTTTGCTTCAATGTACTGGATTCAAAAATAAATCTGACTTTACTTGTTTAATATTGGTGTCTGAGGTAATTAGCTGCACAAAGTTATTGCTAATGACATACTGCTAATTAACCAAATAAATTATCTTATGGTTTTGAAAATTATAGATATATCAGACTAGGCTTCCTTTATGGTCTTGTAACCAGCCATACATTGCACTGTGGTTCACCTGCCCATACACAAATTAGTCCCAGTCCATTAAATTGACTGGGTGTGAGACCAAATCTGCTATATATAAAGAGAATTGAGACATTTTAATCTATCTGGGCATGCTCACAAAAAAAGTGAATTCAATGTCTTAATACACATAGCCTCAGTAATAAATTCATCTTAAAACAGAATTCATCTATAACAAATAATAATAAAGAATAGCAACAATAAAAACCTTAAACACATAAATTCGGCATCATCAAACTCAATTGGGTAGTGGACAGAAGTTGAACTGATATCTGCCTAAAAATTACTAATTCCTTTCATGTATGGAATCAGAAGTTCAATAAGAAAAGTAATGAACACACTTGATTTAAGTTGACAAACATTATTTAAGTGCCGACTGCGTGTGTGATATATGCCAGACTCTCAGGATACAAAGTAAAAAAACAAAATAAAACAAAACAAATAACAACAAAAAAGTTCTGTCTCCAAGGAGCTTACATTTTATTTGATGCCACAACACATACAAAAACAGGGATAATTAATACAAGGTAAATTGGAAAGAGAGAGCACTAACAACTTGAAGATCAGAGAAGTCTGCCTGAAGGTGGAAGCACCTGACTTGAGTACTGAAGGATGACAAAGGGTTCTAATAAATGAGTGTGAGAAGGGAATGAATTACATGCATGGGGGATAGCTTCAGAAAACGCATTGGGGCAGGAAATGGAAAACAACAGTGATCTTCCTTTCCCTTTACCATTCCTTGGCTCCTAGGATGATGACTTCATCTGTTCTTTCTCTTCTCTATTTTCCAAGTATCAAACGTCTGGGATGTCTTTTTCTTTTACATTTTTTTCTATCCAAATGATACCTATTTTTCAAATCTTAGTTAAATTGCAACTCTTTGATGTAGCACATTTTCCCCAAAATTGGTCCTCATTTTTTTTCCCTTTTCTGAACACTCAAAATATGTGCTACACAATTTTTTGCATTCCATTATATGGAGTCTGGCCTCCCCAACTTGATTCTATAAACTTTTAGGGTAGAAACCATTGCTGTACATTGTTTACACCATTGTGTCTGGAACAATGCTGAGAATTTAGAGAATAGTTGATTATTAGAGTATCTTAGCCTTTTCTCATCTTTCCTGGAAAGATTATCAATCAGGATCTCTCTCAATATTGGTCAGTCAAGCAAGAGAATTTTTATTTGAAGGAGAGAACCTTGCTACTATGATTTGTATAATGAATAATGGTCAAATCCACCAAGTCCTCATTACACAGATATCACTATTTACTCCCAATGTGAACATGAGATACCCTGATTAATGAAGCCACTTAAGTATATCCAATTCCTATAAAAATTTTTTTAGATTCTTTTTTTGGGTATCTTTAGTTATGATATTTCATTATGTAATAAAAAGGACTTTCCTTCCCTCCCTCTCTCCCTTTTTCCTTCCTTCCTTTCTTCTTTCCTTTCTTTCTTCCTTCTGGCTTTTCAGTGGGTGGTAGGATGTGGAAGAGAGAAAAAAAATTACTTTTTTTTAATGGAAAAGGAAGAATGGAGTAACTATAAATAAATATTCTGATGGGATTTTATTTAGAATGAAATTTCAAAATTTGAAATCACTTTCTAAGGATTTCTATAGACTTTTCCTTTAAATAGCAAGCTCCTTTTCCTTAAATACACCTATGTGTATATATATATATATATATATATATGTACACACATATATACACCTATGTGTATATATATATATATATATATGTATGCATATATATATACATTCATTCATTCATTTATTTATTTATTCCCCCAGTCCCTATCGAGCCTTTATTTAATCTTTAATTCATGTCATCTTTATTTTCTATTGAAATTTGATTTTATTGCTCTTAATCTTTTTGTATGGTCTTTAACACTTTTACATGACTGTTTTAAAATATATTATACCCAACTATTCCACAACTGATATTTGCAACCTACAAGTGTCACATTTCTTTAAATCTAATCTCTTCTCTGAACTTCCCTGTATTCCAAGCAATAATAAAAAAAAAAGGATGTGGTAGACTGTGATAAATAATTCTCTTTATTGAACCAATTCCTAGGCAGATTATTCTCTCTACACGGTAATTTTTTTCTTTTCTTTTATTTAGCATAAATATAGGAAAGACTTGTACCTTTCAACTTTCATTGAAACTGACCTCCACTCCCCCTACTCATTACCCCTGCCAACACATATACATACATGAAGAATAAAAAATGTCTAGACATTTGGGAATGAGAACTGAGTTTAAAGTCCTTGGCATACAGTAAGGAAAGCTCTCATAAGATATGCAAATGTGAATTTAGAAGTCAATTCATTAATCTTGCAATTATCTATCGTAAGAGTTCAGTGCACCAAAGCTATGAAATAACTTGACCCAATGTCTCTGGAAATTATTTCTTAGAAAGTTTAAGTCAAATAGAAAATAAATTATGTAATACAAGGAGTTATTAAAACACATATACAGAAACATTTGAGAGTTCACAAAGCATGCTACTTTCCCATGAGATTTCTTCACTGTTCCTTAATAAAAGAAGTCCATTGAATGAGTATTAAGTAGCCACTTGGGGATGTCTTGACAGGTTTCCAATAGCTTATAGTGCTTATATAAGCATAGGCTTTGTCTTCTACCATATTAACTGACATCCACTAATGAGAGATACATATAATTCAGTGTACTTTTTTTTCTTTTATGGGCTATCAGAAGAAATAAAATATAATCTTGCCAAGAAATTGTCCCCAAGCCAAAGTCAGATAAACCTGATAGCTAATTCTATTTTTTACCCTACTTTTCATTAATTTCCTCTTACTCTGATTTCATCTGGAGGAAACAAAACTGTGCATCCTGCATTCATTAAGAATCATTATTTTTGTTGTTGTTCAGTCATTTTTCAGTTGCATATGACACTTGGTGACCCCATTTGGGGTTTTCTTGGCAAAGATGCTGGAGTGGTTTGCCAGTTCTTTCTCCAGCTCATTTTACAGATGAGAGAACTGAGGCAAACTAGGTTAAAGTGACTTGCCCAGGGTCACACAGTCTGGTGTCTGAGGCCAGATTTGAAGTCAGGATGATTAGTCTTCCTGACTCCACACCTGGCACCCTATCCACCGCATCACCTAGCTTCACTGAATAATAGCTATTATTTATGTAGCATTTTAAAGTTTACAAAGTATTTTATAAATATTGTCTCATTTTATCATCATAACACCCAAAGGAGGGGAGTGGAATTATCATCCTCATTTTGTTCATGAAAAAAACTAAACCATAGAGTTTCAGTGACTTCTGCAGAGTCACACAGATATTAAATAAATAAGTCCAGATTTAAACTCACATCTTCTTGACTTTGGATACAAGAATCTATATGCCACATCACCTAGTTCTTTGTTCCAGAACTTTCAAGAAAACAGGGGTACAAAAATAGCACTGAGGGAAATGAATGTTTCATTTGACCTATGAAAATCAGAGGATCAGATAAATTCCTTAAATGCAACAACTAGAACACAACACAATATTTTGAATATGGTCTTATGAGGGAAAAGCACAATGGTACCATCATCTCCATGTCCTGGAAACAATATTTCTCATAAAACAGAGCAAGATCTGAATAGTTTCCTTGGCTACATGTTACAAGCTAACTCAGATTGAGATTAGAGGCCTCTAAATTCCACAAATATTTGTTCTAAATAAATGTTATCAATCTTCAGATGAACATGCATTACCCATACTATGCTAAGATTGATTTTTTGAACAAAGTATAAGACTTGATATTTATCCATATTAAATTCATCTGACTAATTTGAGCCAATATGTTAGCTTTCCAAGAGCTTTTAAAATCCTCACCCTCTTTCCCAGTGTGTTAATCACTCATCTTATCTTTTTGTCTTATTCACTTCTGATGAGCAAGCCAGCTATCCTTTTTGCAAGACTTTGAAAAAAATGTTAAGTAATAGAGGGTCAATGACAGATTCCTGGCATGCACTATTGCAGACATCCTTACAAAGTCTAATATCTATTTCAATCACAAAATTCTTTCTACAATATCCATGAGAGATGATTATTCAGGTTTTGCTTGAATCTCCCCTCCCTGTTCCATTTGGCTTTCTTTAAAATTATTTTTATTATTTTTAATATAAATATAAACTTTAACCATGCATAACATCCTAGTTTTTGTCTATTTATTTTCCAACACTTTCTCATCACCTTTTAAATCATGCTTGGATGTGTTTACTTTTTTAAATAATAACAAGTTTGAGCTAGGGCAGCAAACTAGTGCAGGGGATAGAGTGCTGGCCCTGAAGTGAAGAGGACCTGAATTTAAAAGCAACCTCAGACACTTACTAAGTGTGTGAACAGCGAGTCGTTAAACCCTGTTGGCCTGTTTCCTCATCTGTA